TTTTCCTCGCACGCGCAAGCGACGGTGGCCAAATGCAATAGGATTCCAGGTTACATTCGTCGGTCGGTTGCAAGTAGGACATCTCGCGTTATTCTTCCGTTGTATGCGGCGCTGATCAGACCCCAGTTGGAATATTGCATCCAGTTTTGGAGGCCTACAAATAAGGGCGATTTGTTGGCGCTCGAGGGAGTACAGAGGAGGGCCACAAGAATGATTAAGGAGGTCAGGGGACTATCATACGAGAAGCGTTTAGAAGTGTTGGGACTGTACTCGCTCGAACGAAGGTTAAGGAGGGGCGATCTCATCCAGGCTTTCAAGATAATTAAGATAATGTCGAGTGTGGTAGGTTTTTCCAGTTTGATGGCAGCAAGAGAACGAGAGGTAACCAACTTAAGTTGCGCAAACCGCAGGTGCGGCTCAGGTCGAGACAGGAATTCTTTACTTGCAGAGTGGTGAACGCATGGAATGAGTTAGATGACGAAGTAGTGGCTGCCCCGCGCTGTAACTATCTTTAAGAAGAAACTAGATGCTTTCATGGAGAGGCAAAAAGGTGGGGGGCAATGTTGACGTTAGGTACTAGACAGTAAGCAACTAGGATAGTCAAATAAAAAAAAAAATAAAAAAACAAAAAACAAAAATACAAAAATATTTAGCTTTAAGAGGGTTAGGCCTACCCTAAAATTAAGGAACGCTCGACCTCGACACGTGATATTGAAATGGGCGAAATCGCCTCTTGATATCACTAACTATCTTATTCTTGAATCTTGACCCAAGGAGGCTGAAGGGAAATTTGTGGATTCTCTCTCGGGGAAGAGAAAGGATTTCAATGATGTGAAGATTAAAACAGCCCAGTTGCCGGTTTCTTCCTTTTTTTCGTCGTCAGTGCAATTTGTTCAGAGAATGTTGCCAATTTCCTCATAGAAAATGAATGAATTACAATAAAACTGTTAGCTAGAGGTACGCGAGAGGTGAAGGGGGAATCCAACAACCCTAAAAATGTGACATGTTTCTAAACATGTCATGTGGCAGTTTTCTCAGAACTTTCCCTTAACCTAGTTGGTGAATGATGATAAGAGGATTAGCCATCCCTCTGCTGTGAAGTGCCTCCTCGAAAGTGGGCTTTTACCCGATACATGGACTAGACTGAATCTCCAATTCTCGAGCCATTCTTCAGTGACGAGTCATGCCAT